CGCCATCGTCCTCTGGTGGAACCGACCTTAGAATCTCTTCACCCAACACTTCTACTCGAAATGGAAGTGAGCCCAACAATATTGTCATGGTTCCGCGAAGGAGTGTAAAAGGGCCAAATGTCTAAGGCATGGGCGTCTCAAGGTTACGGCCACTTAGTCGGCCCGAGGGGAGGAGAAGACATGACGGTGGACAGCAGCCGGTTCGGCCAGGCTTTTGAGCCAATCACCACTTGGCCTCTGTTCACTTGATGTCATCCCAGGCTGAGCCATTTCCCGTCTTGCATCTCCGCCTCTTTTCTGCCCTTCCTCTACCTCTCTCCCTTTTTCTCACTATTTATTTCCCTCTCCCTCTCTCTTTAACTTTTTCTTTCTCTATATCACTCTTTCCTTCTCTTTCTTTCTCTCACGCCCTGTCCAACTGCTCCGCCCCGCTCCAGCTTTGTCTGCCCCAGCCAGAACTCCGCCGGTCGGCTCGGGCCCTGCCTACACCAGACTCCCATCTTGCCCGTCGTGATAATCTTTGTGTCCTACGTCTTCCTCTTTCTCTCTCTCTCTCTCTTTCTTACGTCCTCTCGCTAGGCACTAGGACCACACTTTTTGTCGGGCTATTTCGCTTTCAGCCTCCATGGCCACTTGGCCCAGCGACCGGACGTGATGATGCCTCGCTCCAGAAGGCAAGCTCCAATCCAAACGCTCGGCAAATGTTTCTCCGCCCTCTTCTAACGACCCCGTCAGTTGGTCTCTTGATTTCCGTCGATTGTCCGCATTTACGTCTATTCTGCCACAGACCTTGCCTGTCGTGCTCCCTTTCTTTTTTGATTCGCTTTCATTTGCTACACTTGCATCTGTGTCTAGAAAGCCACCACAAACCGTTTCCTACTGGTCATAATTGCCCGCCTCCCAGAACCGACTCTTATTCACTGCCATTTCTAGCATAAACTTCCCACCTGATCAAAAAATATGCCAAATGAAGATAATCTGTACGAAGTCGAGTCACTTTAGTCCACTTGAGGCATCATGATGCCATCGGATTGAAATTGCGTTGCAGTCCTCCTCATCATTCTCATCCAGGCTGGACTACAATCTAGAATTTGCCTCACCAGCTAATCCGCACCCTCAAAGCGAGTAAAACCGAATTCATGCACTACTGAGCTGACATCAAAATGGGATATTGAAAGGCACGGTCAACAAACCTGTTAAAAATGTCATTCGACCAGGCTCCTAAACATTTTTCACCAGAGGATAGATACCGAATAGAGATTCTTGATGGACTGGCATACAAACTAGACACAATGTGATGAAAATATGATACTGGAATTTTCACACAATCTATAAATAGGGTCGTTGAACCTTAATTACTCCAGACTGAGAGGCTATGACAGGTGGTTTCATAACCTGACTTACACTCTTACAGGCTTTCATCTCACTAGCTTGACCATTGTGTCATACGGAAGCAGGCACTATCGGTCAGGTATTTTTCGCCGGTTACTAAGCCGTGATGAGCTGAGTCTGACACTAGGTTTTCTTAATCACTCTGATGTAAGACCGGTATAGCGTATAGACGTTAAAACACACACACACACACACACACACAAGTAAAAATACAGTGAAAAATATGAAAGGGAATAAGCCAAATCATTCTATATCTGAGATATGAAGAGAAGCTGAGTTTCGAAGAATCCCTTAATAGATTGATACTGACATACCTTTCATTGCATTTTGAGAATGCAGATGGAAAGGATTCGATGATTGGCCTTACCGGATACCGAAGGAGGATTTGTCACATGATGGACGAAAACTCAGCATGGAGTCTTCGGGGTCGTGGGATGGTGAACCGAGGTCTTCTTGGCCCAATTCAGTCAACCCTCCTTCAGTTTCCGGTGAAGCCAATCCACGAATTCCTTCTATCCGCTTTCTCAA